AACCAATTCTGCATTTGTTTTGGGAGGCGATTTTGTATATGAGCTTGAATTAGTAAAGAAATATGTGTATATTTTTAGTTTTGACTAAAATGAAAACTAGTGGTGGTCCTTACTCATGTTTTTCTACTGCTAATGGTCTGTAGATTTTAATCTGAGCTTGGACACAGATTTTTTTTTTCAGATGAAAGTTGTGAGATCCCATTTTTCCTTGTGTCAGTGAGGCTATGGAATTTAAGGAATAGCAAATAGCTATGATTAGTTATAGGATCAACTGAATGTTTTCCTGCTAATCTCTCCTTTAAAGAAGGATTTACTTTGACTAGAAGCACTGTTCTCGGAAAAGACCATTCCCAATCCAGTTGAGCAATTAAACTGCTGAATACATTTGGAGCTAATATCTCCAGGCAGCTCCTGGTGTTTCATGTCCTCAGCTGCTATTTGAGTTTTATTGTTTTTGTTTTTTTATCCTCACCCAAGGACATTTTTCCATTTTTTGTTCAGATAGAGTGGGAGGAAGAAAGAGAGAGAAATGTCGATATGAAAGGGACACACCAAGTGGCACCGAGTGGTTGCCACGCAACCGAGGTACGTGCCCCAGTGGGAACCGAATCCGGGTCTCTCTAGACCGCAAGCCAACACTCTAACCGCTGAGCCAAACCGGCCAGGGCTGCTATTTGAGTTTTGAGACACCACCATAAGACCCCCTGGCTTCCAAAGGGATCAGGGAAATAGTGAAATAGCCACCTAAATGCACAGTGGAATTTTGGAGAAGGCCAACAACAGAAAGCATCTTTCCTGGCAAGTCCATCCTTTTCATCAGTCTCCTACTCCCAGCCCTCCCTAAAGCAGTCAACAGTCCCTGCTGCTACTAAAATTTCCCCACATCCGGCTACATTGATCTCTTATCTTGCCTGCTTATCTAATCTATCTAACCTCCTTTTCCTCTCCCAGTACTTCCTATGTCCATCATGCCTCAAGATACCAAAGTCATTGCTAATGCCTTGATCCAAGCAGTTAGTAGTCTTAGGAGCCGATGCCCACCTTTCCTGCATTCCCACAGCCCCTGCCTAAGTCTGTATCTTCCCACTTCAGGGAACAGGCTCTGGTCTCTACACTTGTTCCCTTGCCTGGAACAGCCTAGATCACTAAACGCGAGAAATCCTCTTCTTCTGTACCTGATTAATCGTTTGGTCTTTCAATTCTTAGTCCAGCTGTGGAGGTTGTCCTGGAAGCCTCCCCTGCCCACCCCTGGCTGGGGCAGGACTCATAGTCCCTCGGCTGTCACACTCGTCTCTCTTTATCCTCTGCTCCTCACACAGGATCTGGCCTGTGGCAAACATTCATCCGAATGCTGGTCAGTGGGTTGGATGTACTCGTTCTCATCTCTCAGTCTTTGTGGATTCCAGTTTTTTCCCTTGATTTTCAGCTCCCTTTTTGTTTTGTTTTTACCCATTTATATCCAGAAATTCTTTCAAAACATGTCTTTACTAACACCTTTTCAGTCACAGCCTCACTTTCACTCGTCACATTTACTCTTTATTCTTCTTGTCATGATGAGAATGTATGCAATAAGTTTAACATTGTAACAAATCCAAAAACTGTTCTAAGTGAACATAATAATCACTTTTCTTAAAATAATCACCTTGAAAAATTGTGCACCTATTGTCACAGCAATGTCACAGCCAGTCTTTCTGGAACTGCTCTTTAGGGATAATCACATTTACATTTTTCTAAATCTACTTTAATGGTGATGTCTAATCCTTGAAGGTGATTTTAAATATACAGTCAAGCCACAATAAAGTATATTTAGTGAGTAAAGAGAATGATCAAGCTGATAACTCTATGCGTCAGCCAATAAAAAGTAATGTTAAACCCTGGCCAGTTTTCTCAGTGGTTAGAGCATCGGCCCTCGGACCAAAGGGTCATGGGTTTGATTCCAGTCAAGGGCACGTACCTGGTTGCAGTTCGGTCCCCAGCCCTGGTTGGGGTCGCGTGGGAGGCAACCAATCGATGTGTCTCTGTCATGTCAGTGTTTATCTCTCTCTCTCTCTCCCTCCCACTCTATCTGAAGATAAATGGAAAAAAAGCATATTTGGGTAAGATACTTAAAAAAAAAGTAATGTTATTATCTTTTCCTGAACATATTTGCAACGAGGGAAATTCCAAAAACAATCTGACTATGTTATTTTTGAAAAGAGTTTCTAGCATCCCAAGGTGACTACTTTTAATAATAGCACTTGCTTATCTATTATAAAGTGCTTATTAAAATCCGGTTGGGAATCTCACAGACCTATGATCATACTAACTTGTACTTGTTTAGTGTTATTTCTCATTCTAGTCCATCTATTATGTGATAGACACTAGGAATGAATAAGGCCATGGTCCTTGTCCATAAGGAGCTCCTAATCTAGTTGAAAAGACAGAAATACAAACAGTCCTGTGTAAAAAATAGATATCAGTGTAAGATAAAGAAGGAGTACAGTGGAGGGACTGTCTGTGAGGGGGAGGAATTTGTTCCAGTGTCGGCGAAACCCTCTCAGGACTGAAGGATGAATAATTAGAAGTTCACCAAGAGGAGGAGGGAAGGGACTACAAGAGTCATTCCAAGTCAAGGGAACAGAAGGTACAGAGACTGAAACAAGAAGACATGTTTGGGGGAATCTCAAGTCACTCAATACAGTTATTGTGTAAAGTTCACAATGGGGCAGAGAGGACAAGAGAGGGGAGCCAGTGAGGAAAAAGCCTTGTATTGATCATTTTCAGAAGTATGGACTTGATCCTGCAGGAGCCAGGGAAAGGCTCTGTGAATGGGATTTCCCCTCCCAACAGGATCATAAACGTCCACATCTAATTAGTCACATAGGGTTGCCTGTACTCACCCTCCCACCCCCGCCAAGTCTTTTTTGTTTGTTTGTTTTTCAAGATTGTCTCATATCCATCCCTTTCTTTTCATTTGACATCTACCTCATTAATTCAGGTCTTCATCATCCCATGCCAGCAGCAACCCTCCTTTTCTTAATTATTTATTTATTTATTTATTTTATCCTCACCAGAGGACATTTTTTCCATTTTTTGTTCAGATAGAGTGGGAGGGAGAAAGAGGAAGAAAGAGAGAGAGAGAGAGAAACATCATTGTGAAAGGGACACATCAAGTGGCTGCCGTCCGCACGACCCAACCAGGGCAGGGGACAAACTGCAACCAAGGTACCTGCCCTTAGCGGGAACCGAACCCGTGTCTCTCTGGACCATAGGCCGACGCTCTAACCACTGAGCAAAACTGTCCGGGGCTTAATTATTTTTTTAACCCTTACGTGAGGATATATTTATTGATTTTAGAGAGAAAGAGAGAGGGAGAGAGAGAGAAAGAAGGAGAAAGAGAGAGAGTGAAAAAACATCAATTGGTTGCCTCTCGTACATGTCCGAACCTGCAACCTACCTAGGTATGTGCCTTGCCTGGAAGTTGAACCCACAACCTTTTTGGTGCACAGGATGATACTCCAACCAACTGAGCCACCCAGCCAGGGCACCCCCTCCTTCCTTTTCAGCTTGTCATTCAAGGTCCTATGTGATCTGGTCCCAAACCCCTTTTCTCCTTGACTCCTGTCACTGCTAATAGAGCCAGAAGTCACCTACTGCTTCCCTTATCTGTACCCTTACTTTTAAATTTTTTTTTTTTCTTTATTGATTTTAGAGACAGGAAGGGAGAGGGAGAGATAGAAACATTGATGAAAGAACATCGATAGCCTTCCTACTGCATGCTACCCACTGGGGATGGGGCCCACAACCTGTGCATGTGCCCTGACTCAGAATGGAACTGGTGACCTCCTGGTGCATGGGTCGACGCTCAACCACTGAGCCTCACCGCCCAGGCTGTACCCTTACTTTTATGGTGGCTCTCCCTTGAATACTCTACTCACACAAACTTTTGTAGTTGTTGTTGATTGCAGCTCTTTTCTTACAAATAACAAGCCCACTTGTACTCATGCCTGATCACATCCCCCACTTTCCTGCCCTGGCAGTAACCAATATTCTGGTTCTATTCTTTTACTATATACTGGGTGGTATGCATCCTTAAATAATATATCATATTGTTATGAAAAAATTAAGTAGATATATGTGGCATACTTTATATCTCCTTATGCAATTAGTTTTTTTCACTATCATTTTATTTTTTTAAATTTATCCCTATTGACATTTGTGAATACAGTCTTTTCAATTGGTGTATATCATTTTATAAATACACCATATATTATTCATTCTTTTATGGGTGGGCATTTAGGTTTCTAATATAGGGCTATTATAAACAATGTTACAATGAATATCCCTAGCTGGTCTTCTTGTCCTTACAAATTCGACCGACCTTTTAAGACCCTGCTCTCATCCCAGCTCCTCCACGAAAGCCTGCCCTGAATCCCGCAACCCACAGCAGCAAAATCCCGGTCCTCAAAAGTAGCCTGTGCCTCAAGCGTCTTTAGTACCATTCCATTGTGCTGAGCAAACGAATGAGTGAATGAATGAGTGAATGAATGGTGCAGCACAACCCAGTTGCTGGCTCTGTTCATTTTAAGTGGGCTTTGGCGCCCTACCCCTCATTTCCTTGACAGCACCGGTCCTCTACCGCATTCCCCTAGTGAGCCCAGGAATGTGTGGGTGGGTGGGTTTGGGGGCGATACTAGCGCACTGGGTGAGGGCTGCCTGTCCCTGCAAGTTCAAGATCTCGGAAAGCCTGCGGTCCGAACTTCAGTGTCCGCCTTCCGCGGAGGCCGGGCCCAGCGAGGCCCTCCGGCGTCGATGGCGTCCAGGCGCGGGGACCCGACGCGGGTCGGGGGTGGCTGAGGCTGGCTGAGGACCGCTGAGGACTCGTAGTAGATCCCTCCGCGCGCGGCTCGGGCCGGCGCTTCTTCCTGCGGGAAACCCCTGGGTGCCGAAGGCGGCCGGGCCGGGCCCGGCGACAGGGGGCGGGGTTTGAGGTGGGAGGAGGCGGCCGAGGCGGAAGGACACACGAGGCGGCTTCGCTGCACACCCGAGAAAGTTGCAGCCAAACTTCGGGCGGCGGCTAAGGCGGCGGCCCCGGACCGACTGACTGGGGGAGCAGGGAGTGGAGGCACTCAGCCTGAGTTTCGGGGCGCAGCGCGAGGCTGTGAGCCGCAGAAGTAGAAAGAGGGAAGAGAAAGTGGGGGCTCCTCTGTCGGGACCCCCTCCCCATGTGGATCTGCCCCGGCGGCGGCGGCGGCGGAGGAGGCGACCGAGAAGATGCCCGCCCTGCGCCCGGCTCGGCTGTGGGCGCTGCTGGCGCTCTGGCTGTGCCGCGCGGCCCCCGCGCGTGGTGAGTATCGGGCTGTCGGGCTGGGGGTGCTGCCCCCGCGCCGCGGTCCGCGCACTGCTGCCTCCGTCTCGGCCGGCCACCTGGGGCGACCCTTCGGTCCCCTCTTTGCGAGAAGGCCGGGCTCGGCCGTGGGCTCGGAGTGAGGCCACTTGGTTCCCGAAAGTTTGGACAGCGTGGGGTCCCCTCCCTGGGCGCGTCCCCTCCCCCGCGCTCCCCGCCGCCCGCTTCCCTCGGTGGGTGGCCCCACACACACCTCCTCGGCGGGGCAGCGAGGCTCAGAAACTCCCTTTCTGGAGCTCGGAGTTCGGGGTGTTGGGCAGTCTTGCCCTTTTGGTTCCGCGTTTCCTGGGGTTAAAGGGGAACCGAGGGCGGGCTGCCGGTAACACACCATCGCCGGCCGCGGACCGCAGAGGGGCTGAGCACAGGAATGCCAGGTTCTGGCCTGGAGGCGCGGGGGCAGGGCCTCCCAGCCCAACTGCTTGCACCTTCCAGCCCGACCGAGTGTGCCAAAGGGGAGGCACACAATCCGGGTGGGTGGGGTTGGTGTGGATGGGGCCAGGGTTTTGCGGTGCGCCTGGGTCCTGACACCCGAATCCGTCGTCCCGAGGAACCCGGTGGGTTGTGCTCGAGTCTCTGAAAGGTGGAGGCAGGAACAGTAGGAAAACTGGTGTGGCTGCATGCTGGGCCACATGATTTAAAAATCTCAACTGCTGTTTATTCTTTCCGAGGCGCGGAGCTCGGGCGCTGTTTCAGAGTCTGTGTCCAGCCCCAGGAATGTGGTGTGACGATCACCAACTCCTCCAACCTGGCAGCCGCGGTTGCTGCTCTTTTGGCAGGTTGGGGGTAGGGCAAGGGAGGGTGAGGAAAAGTGGAGACGTTAATTCATAGTGCTTCCTTTAGAAACCCTCTTTATGGCTGAATATTTGCAACAGTCTTTCTGAACACGGTTGGATCAAGGAAAGGAAAACAGATCATTTTTTTACCCATCTCACCCACAGTCTCAGATTCCAAATTTCTTCAGCATGTTTAGTAGAAAGAGTTTGGGCTTTGGAGCCCTGTTCTGTAAACCTGGGTTCAAATCCAGCTCTGCTGTGTGAACTCACCAATAAAACGGGAATGAAATTACTCAGCTAATAGGATTAATTAAGCTAATGTATATTAAACCCATGGCAGTCAGAAGGTATTCATAAAGTCCTTTCAGGACAGGGCTGTGTTTTATTTATCTCTGAACTCTCTGTTTCCAGTGGGATGGTGGCATGTGTATGTTTGTTGAATTGAAAGTGGCCTAATCTGAAGGAATCTTTACCTTGACCAAAAAAACTGGTAATGAGCTATGTCTCTTTGCAAAGAAAAGGTTAAGAAGATGAGCTTCAGAAAAATTTGCTCTTTGTTCATTGTTAACAGGCAGTGGACATGCCACTCACAGCTGTTTAAAGAGAACAAAGTTATCACAGTGCTGAGTTATTTAGCACCAACCAGATTCTTTTTGGAAAGTTCAAATTCATAACCCTCTAGGTCCTTAAAACTTTCAGAAGTGGATGAGGAGACTGTGTGATGATAAAGCAAACCTGTTGCTTTGGGAACATTTAACAAAACACATACAATGGTATTTTCGCCCTTCCTTTTTCTTTGAGTGAGACCTTTAGTATATGTGTAGATTTAGAATAGAGAGGAATATAAACAATGGGCTACTCTGAGGGTTACTATCCTTGGTCTACCATTAACTTATTTTAGTAAATAACTTCATCTTCATGATTTGTAGTCTCCTCACCAATGAAATAGAACTAAAGAAATAACCTACTTTAGAGAGTTGGAGGAAATAATAAATAATGATTGCAGAGCAATTTGCAAAATTAAGTGTTAAATGATAAGACATAAAAAACAGAATTATTCAGACATACAGGGCTTCTCGCATTCTAGGACCTCAGTACTAGAAGATTTCCTCTTTTTAAAAAATCTTAATGCAAGGACGTGCTTAGAGAAGGGGGTTGGGGGGAGAAAGAAACATTGATGTGAGAGAGAAGCATCAATCAGTTGTAGTTGCCTTTCATACGTGCCCCTACTGGGTATCGAACCTGTAACCCAGGTATGTGCCATGACTAGGAATCCAACCAGCAACCTTTCTGTGCACAGTACAACGCTCAATCAACTGAGCCACTCTGGCTGGGCAGATATGCTTTTTATTTCTGCATTGGTAAGGTATTGCTATTACTAGCTAGCTTTTAGGTGGACAAGTTGAGTGTTAGTCAATTAGCTCAAAGGACAGGATTTAGATAGTTTGACTTTTAGGCAGGTGTTCTTCAGATGCTAAATTGCAATAGAAGACATTAAAAAAACCTGTTTCTTGGTACAAATCTTAAATCTTTTCAGAGTCTGGCAGTGATGGCTTTTTGACTCTTCTTAATCTTCTATTATTATTGTGTTTTGCCAAGTTACCAATTGTAACATACCATTCCAAACTTTTGAGTATTCCTGTATTTGGCTTGTGGCCAAGTGTTAATTTAAACATCAGTAAGTTCCTAAGGCAAGGAGCTGTCAACCCATCTGTCTGATTGTCTAAACAGCTATCCAGGACCACCCTTTGCTCCTTGTTTTCTTTTGCTTTGCAATGTGAAGTGACTCCCGGTTTTGCTGCCTGCTAGATAACTTCTCAGCTGCATTCGTCTCTTGCTTTTAAAAAAATATCACAAAGAGCAGTTGTGTTTTGTGTTTTTTTTCCTCAGAGATTAAACTATTTTTCTTTTTACTTCTTCCTATTCTTTCTATATTATTATTCCTTTTGGGGAGGAAAGGGGAGGAAGGAGAGTGATTATTTCTAGCCTCTCTTTTTTTTCCCAATGTTTGGATTTGAAAAAATATTTTACCCACATCTTTGCACCATTTCCGCTCTCCTGCCTCTTTTGTAGTCTTCTTGTGAGATGGAGGAGTAACTTCTGGTTCATCTGAATTGTAGTTGCCGACTTTGGGACCTTTAGAAATGTTTTAATTCAGTGGGATATGTTTGGGTGCTTCAGAGCACCCTAACAATACATTTTAAAAATACCATACCCACAGAAATTTTATTTTGCCCACAAAATTTGCATTGATCTAGTTCCCACTCTTTGATGCCATTCCTCGTCATCCTCCTCCTTACTCTGTCCACTGTGACAGAACAAAGCTCTGTGTCCTGGCTGGGGTGATTGTTGGGCTTAACTAACACCCAGGGATTCTAATACAGTAGGTCTGAGAATCTATAGTTGTCAAGGTTTACAGGTGATTCTAATATAATAACTTGGTTGGAACCCAGTGATAGTTCGTTACTCTGCCTTCAGGTGTATATATGGGGGTTGTTGTTCTTTTTTTTTTTCCAAGATGGAAACAGTCTGGAATTTCTTCTTTCTTTTTTTTAAATCCTCACCCAAGGGTATTTTTCTTTTTATCTTCAGATAAATAGAAAAGAAGGGAGAAAGGGATATATATATATGTCTATATATATATAGGGATATATATATATGTCTATATATATCTAGATATCTAGATATATATGTGTATATGTGTGTGTGTGTGTATATATATATATATATATATATAGAGAGAGAGAGAGAGAGAGAGAGAGAGAGAGAGAGAAACATCGATGTGAGAGAGACACATCGATTGGTTGCCTCTCGCATGACCCCAACTGGGATGAACCACAACCAAGGTCCCTGTCCTTGACCAGAATCAAACCTGAGACTCATCAGATTGTGGGCTGATGGCAAAAGAAACCATTATATATAAATTGCATTTAAGCATTCTGCAATATATAGTGTTCTTAGTGTAACTGGAGTGCAAATTATCTACATACACAAATGAAACATTTCAGAAGCAAGTGGAGTAAACAAAAGCACCAGTTCCTTAAATTACACTTGATCACATACATGAGCAAGTCTCTGTGATAGTTCATCCTGTTCCATGGAAGCAACACAGGTGCCAATAGATCCCGTCTGACCTGTAGTAATTCCACATTGAGATCAAGGCCAGCTTCACCTGCCATTTCTTGAAGCAGCACATCCACTTGGCTTTGTGGTGTTGTTAGGGTTGTAGTGCTGCTACTCATTGTGTCTTCCATTTGTTGTGTTTGAACATCTACTGTTTCAAATTGGTGTTCAGATTTTTCATCAGAGCAGAAATCTTTTCAAGGTTCGTATTCCTCAATGTAGCATCCATGGACTAAACTACACCTGTCATGGACTTGGTTACCTTGCCCATTGTTACTGCAGTTTGAACTCTGGCTGCCACAGCATCAACCCTAGCACTCATTCTCAAGAAATTAATTGCTTGGTTCTTCTGGAGGATTGCATTTTCAGCATGTATTCTTACAACTTCTGCATTGCCTTTCTGAACAGCCTTTTTAATCGTGGCCTTTTCTTCTTTACCACATTTCTTGGCATTCCTTTTAAACTCTTTTGCAGCAAACTTCAAGTTAAATAGGTGTTTCTCCATATTCAACATGGGCCCACTTTTTTGGGAAGGCGACAGCCTGGGCAGCGGCACAAGTTTGATGTGAGGGAGCTCAGTATTCCCGTCTTAGTTCAGAGGTGCAGCCAGCCTGGCTCCTAGGTTTGAGATCCCACTTTTTGTTTTGGCCCGTTCTTCTTAATTTCAGTAATTTCTAGTATGAACCTAACCTTAGCCATTCCAGAGTTTAACCCTCTGTTTAACATAAAAGCTGTAGAGTATAATGCTACTTCTTTTTGTTCATCTGGGCACAGTAGGTCCCCATTATCTCTTTAGAAAGGCTTTATATATTTGAATGATATTATAAGCCCCCTCCCTCCTTTTTCTTCTCTGTTATCTATTTTTCTTCAAGCTTCATTCATTTATATCATTTGAACCATCTGTTTATTTGCCCTAAGTGGTTTTAGAGTAAAAAATTCTAAGCCATGATTTGGATGAGAAGATAAGAGATTTTACATAATCCAGATATTGAGTTTCTATTCCTTATTTCTTTTTTTAAAAAATGTGTATATATATATGTGTGT